TCAGTATTCAAAAAGTCTAGTTCCTGTTCATGATTTCATCACTAGTTCTCGGGCATCTGCAACTTTCCTTTTCCTTTCCTTTCCTTTTTTCCATTGAACAACGTGCCTTGAAAAACCTTCCACTGCATTGTCTATAAGTGATGCAAATATTTCAGAACAGTCATGTAATATTTACTTGTTCATTCTGCTATTAACGGATTTTCAAGAATGTCTTTAAAAAGATCACTGTGGATTATCCATAGAAAATTGAGGTAATAAATAGGGTACTCTCTCTTCCCTACTCCACACCTACAGTCTCTTTCAGTTTATTAAAAAATGGTAACTTTTCTTTCATTTTGTCAAGGTATCATAAATTAGAATTTAACTTCATTATTTCCTAATTGTGAAAAAGGTGTATGTCATGATTTTGGAGGCTTCTCTGAGTTTTTGATCTTACAGCTCCTGCCGCTCCCCCGCTGCCCACAGCATCTATGACTTCATAACAACTTGACTTCCTAACTCACCTCTGAATGTGGACTTTTATCATTGTCAAAACAACAGGGTTAATCCACATCCCAGTTTTTGTTAAGTGCAAGCTGTGTAAAGTTTAGCTAAAATAGGTCATCTTTGCATTTGAATAGATCCTTCCACTTCATTTTACAGAAACTGCCTATTTTAAGGACTTTCCAAGGGATTTGGGGATTATGATAGTATGGGAAAGGGGTGATCATTTTCGGTCATCAAGAGTTGCCATTATTTCCTCTTGAAGAACCTGAAGCATACAGTTAAATATAAGCCTTTAATCACAAACTCTTTCAGAAAGATTTTACTTTACTTCTCCTATAAGTTTTTAAAAATATTTTTTCAATAAAATGAAATATTACTGTAACTTAATATTAAACTTTCCATTGTCCTGGGAAACTGAGACCGGAGCAGACTTTCAAAACAGGGAGACATTACTTCTTCATGACAAGCTGCTGATCCCTCGCTCCACCCTCAGCATCCCTAATCAGGTCAGAGTCAAGCATGTTCATCCTTCCTTCACCTTTCTCATGCATCAGTGAAAGAACAATCCGTACACACTGAAACCAGGTAACAGAGTTAACAGTGCTTCTCTCTGATTTCTGCTCATCTCCGTATCTGTCTTGTGCTACCGGAAAAGACATGCCAAACGTCATGCTATTTTTTCCCATTTATCACAATAAAAAAGTTCAGTTTCAAGAAAAGGAATTGAGAGAGGAGAGAAAAAAGGTGAACAGAAAAAGGGAAGAGAAAGAAGGCTAAAAGGATGCATGTTTCAGTGAAATCATTATATTTAACATTTTATATCTCCTAGTGGTTTATAAGAGTTTGGTCACTTGCCGTATAGATAAGCTAAGTCCCACTAGAAGCACACATTAAGATGGTATTAGAAGTACAAGAGCTTTGGTGTTGGGTCACAGGGACACATCTCAGAGATAAAGTGGGGACACTTTATTGCAGGAGTATGCAAGGTGAGCATTTGGACGATGATATGGATCTAACATCTGTGACAGAGAGAGGAAAAGAAAGCAGGCCTGGGTATAAAAAGCATTAAACTGACTATACTAGGCTACAAGGAAGTGCTAGTCAGACCATAGGGAGTCCCAGAGAAAAGGTTGCCTGTTAGAGGACTCCCCCATAGGGCATGAGTGGCCAGCTCTATTACCTCCACCAAATTCAGTCATTCTTCCAGAGTAGCTCGGAAGAGTGTTTTTTTGGGGTGCATCCTGGTGGTTCTGGAAATGTGGTAGCTGTATGCTATCATCCAGGTCCAAGAGTCTCTCTGCTGGGAATCTGAGTAATACATGTCCACGGCTACCCTGCACCTGGTAAGTCAGTATGACAAAACTACTTTTATAAATGATAGTGAATGAAGTCACTCAAGTACCTTCTCCAAATATGAATCACCTTTTAAATTAGAATGACACTCCTTGTTGCTTTGATTGCGTATGAGTTAGGTTCACCCTTTCCCGGACATCTGTAGTCAGAGTTCCATTGGTTGCATGATAAGAAGCAGTCAACCGAGAAACATTTCTTTTTTCTTTCTACACAAGGAATCAGACTTGTCTGCATCAGAATTCAGGAAAGTCTACAAAACAGTGGTAAGGAGAAGGAGAAAGGCAGATAGTTTGGTAAAAGAGAGATTCATTTCTTCCTTCCCTTTGTTCTCTAGCAATCTAAGTTATCTGTAGGATAGTTATGGAACTAAGATCCTTGAGCCTCTGTGACGGAAGGTTTATCCCCAGTCAAGGTTCTGAACTAGGCTATGGCTGTCTTTCTTAACTCCAGAATCTGCTGATGGCTTTCCAATCACTACCAGAATTATTGAACCATATCAGGAAAGAGCTGATCTTGAGAGAGAGGTGAGAAAAATGGAGAGAGATGTTGAAGGGCAAGACACTAAAGATTATCAAGTAGAAAAAGAGAAGTTTGCCTTTTAACTTATTTTCAAATAGATACAATCGTAAATACATAAATGAAATTTTTGCCCAGATTTGAAAGGTTGCTCAATTATTGCCATGAACAAATAACTGGATGAATGTGAAGAAGCCAATTATCAGCCAAAGTTCTGAACAATTCCTTTGTTCTTAAATTTAACTTGATTAAATAGTGATTATTGTAAAACCTTACATGAGCTAGGTTGTACAATATATGGATATAGCTTTTTAATATACTCTTGACATTTTTGTCACAGTTCTGATATTGCTTTTTTTTAATAGAAAAATTTTGGGAGTTACATACTGTCTTCATGCCCTATTACCCACTCCTGGTCTTGAACTTTGTGTTTAATCAGGGCCTAAAATCAGCCATTTAACATAGAAAATAAGGTCATTTTTACTCGTCAAGGGCTCTTAGCCCATTTCTTCTCATAGCAGCAGTCTTTTTCTCTGGTAACAGAACTTTGTTTCATTTTCTTCCCCATCCAGACCATTGGTCAGATTCTTTCCTATCCCCTCAAGTAACTTCCCCACTTCTCAAGGAAACGGCCAGAAATTCTCCTAAGCCTGGGCAATGGCTGTCCCCACTGCTACGATGTCTTCCCTAGGGAAGTGGTTTATCCTGCACAAACAGCCTGGTATGCTTTGAACCACATGTGCTGAGTATTAAGAAAATGACAGCCCCTGTATAACAGTCACTGTTATACAATTTGTTCATTGCAATAATTGAGCAACCTTTCAAATCCGGGCAAAAATTTCATTTATGTATTTATAATTGTATCTATTTGAAAATAAGTTAAAAGACAAGCTTCTTTTTTTCTACTTGACAATCTTTAGTGTCATGCCCTTCAACATCTCTCTCCATTTTTTGCACCTCTCTCTCAAGATCACCTCTTTCCTGATAAGGTTAAATAATTCTGGTAGTGGTTGGAAAGTCATCAGTAGATTCTGGAGTTAAGAAAAACAGCCATAGCCTAGTTCAGTTCTAGCAGGTTGCCCTCTGGAGAAAATTGTTTTAGTTTTTCCTTGACTTTTCAGTTGTTTTTATAAAAGGGTTCCTTTCCTGTCTTGCCAATCCATTTCAGCCCTGGGCAAGTTCACTGGATTCAGTGAGACCAAAGAAATGACAGGAGAACATTCTTGGGGTGAAAGGGTTGTACCCAACTTTATTNCTTGACTTTTCAGTTGTTTTTATAAAAGGGTTCCTTTCCTGTCTTGCCAATCCATTTCAGCCCTGGGCAAGTTCACTGGATTCAGTGAGACCAAAGAAATGACAGGAGAACATTCTTGGGGTGAAAGGGTTGTACCCAACTTTATTCCCACGGTGGCAGGTCAATCACTAGAATCCTGTCCACTCAGAGCGAGTCTGCAGGCAGCAAGCCTGTCTCTGCCTCTGGGCCTCTCTGCCCACCCAGCCGTCTCAGTCTCTGTCCTCGGTGCTGCCACTCCAGCCTCTGCTCTGCTTTCCTGCAGCCTTGCAGCCATGCTACCATTTCGCGCAAAAGCGCAAAACACTGGCTGGAGCTCTTTATATAGAGTCAGTAACAACATATGCCCACATGTGTGTAGTGAGAGAGCCAACCAGGGCCAGGTGAGAATCCTGGCCACAGGAACCTTCACTTTATCCACATTTCCCTCTAGGGCATTTGGTACAGCATTCACTATTATCTCCCTTTTCTATGTTCGTACTTG